TGAAAAACAACAAAACCAAAATAAGATTTTAGACAACAGATCGAACATTTCAACATTAATCAGTAATAGAATACTTCAACACACACAATCAAAGGTTTTGTTTATATTACCACATATCCGTCAATTGATTTTTTTGTGAAAAAGTAGAAAAAAAGCAAACCCGAACAAAACAGCAAATAAAGACGTTCATACTGTCATATCTCCACCAAAATATTTTTCGGAAAAGAACAAAACATAAGATCGAAAATTATTCCAAATAAACACAACTGCAATCTAAAACACACAAACTCGAAACATGGAAGAAAATACATTTGGGCAATTGTTTTCTTAGAAAAGACCAAAGCAAGCGAAAACAAATTCGGTAGATTCCAAAAACAACTACACTTAAAACAAAATTAGAAACAGTATGATGGAAAAACGTTTATGTGGACGAAAAATACCATAATGAATACAAGCAATGTGCTGAAAATGCAACGTTGCTTCATGTTTGTAAAACCTGAAAGGCAAAAAAAAAAAAAAAAAAAAGAAAATTGTAAACATAAGGAGAATAATCATGAAGTGACGATAAAATACTGTCAGAAACACCGGACACCAGATCGAACCTTGCTCGGAGCACTCTGCATGTAATATGCAATTCTTGAACACATAATCCCATGAAATATAAGGTTAATAGCAGAATTATCAATTGGAAAATTCAGAAAAACCCGGATTTTCGGTGTATCACTTTTTATATTTTACAACATGCCCAAAAAGTAAATAAATATACATGTAAAATACTAATAAACATGAGCAAGACAGTAGATCTTTAGCGAACTAAATTCTGCAACAATGCAGAATTGTTGTGGGCTCTCAAATGCATTGTTATAATCCATTTAATTAAAATATGTGCAGCAATACTTGTGCAATTAACCAACATAACAACAATTAAGATTTCACTTTATCAAGTGAAAGGACTTCTCAAAGTCAGTTAGGAACCAATATTTTTCAGTCAGTCTTTTTGTCCGGAATAATTTCGTGGATGAAGGATGTCTTCGGAATCATGTTTGATATTTCTGATAAAGAACACAAAAAAAAATATTAAAAAAAGAAAAAAGAATCTAACGTTGAAAGAATCACATATAAAAAGAGGCTATGTCCATTAATTCATAGATACCAAGGTGACTTAAACAAACTTACTTCTTGACGAATGGAGTTAATTTTTTCAAAGAGAAAGATACCTACCTACAAAGAAGTGAGAAAACGATATAAGTAGGGGTTTAAGAAAGAGATGGGAGATGCGGGTGCACAGAGAAGTGGGAAAAATATATGTATCGCAGGAGATATATGCGCATCGTATACGTAGATTTGTTGTGGGGAAAAAAATCTGGATAATTCCATGGAAAACGTAACCATTAAAATGAATCAAGGGAGAGGGAGAGAAGTCACAGCGAAGAAATCGACGGTGAGAAAGATAGATATGGGCTGCGATGGGTAGATATACATAGAGTTGGGGAGGAGGAATCTGGATAATTAATTGATTTAATTATATTTAAATATATTAAATTAAATGAAACAAAACAATAAAATTAGCAGAGGAGTCGGCATGGATAATTAATTAGATTGGTTATATTTAATTATATTAAATTAAATGAAACATAACAATAAAATTAATACTTAATTAATTAAATTAATTAAATAAACAGCAAATATAGGAATTAAATGAGCGGGAAAAAAAACCCTAGGGTTTCACCAGAGCAACCTTACTTTTATTAATAAGATTATTATTGTACTTTACAATTCCAATTATATTTTAATGTAGGAGATAGACTCGAGAGAGTTTTATTTGATTTGCTTGGATATATGTCAATTTTCACCAATTAATCTCCATTAGATCTTGAATTTTTATTTTCATAATCATTCTATATCTAATAATAATAATAGTTACATTGATGAATATTACAAATTAAATGACCATTTTAATATGTAACTTTTTTCTTTATTGTTTAAAAAAATGCTCTATTTACTATTATTTTTTTTCTAATTTAGCATGTAAACCATATAATTTTTGTAGTTTGGTTGTAGATTTTGCAATATATATTTTTTGTTATGAATACTATGCAATGTTTATTGGATATGTGTATATCGTTATTATATTAAAGTATGGTCCGTAATTTACGAAATACAGGTTCCCCCTTCTCGGATCATGTCGGCCAAGTTCCCCCTTGTCAAGCTAATCGCTGCGAGTTCGGCCTTTCTACTCAAAGCATCGGCTACAACGTTTGCCTTCGATGGTCGGATCTCCCCCGTCTCGACCAACTCGATAGCGTGGTCCACCTCCCTCCTAGGTGGAAGCTTGTCGGGTAAATTCGGTGGGCAATGTTATGGTGGCGTAGAAAGCACGCCGATATCGAGAAAGGCATTTGCCGAATCGATACTTTGGAAGAGTTCAAGAGGGAACTCAAGCGACACTTCTACCCGGAGAACGTCGTCTATGAGGCTCGAAGGAAGTTGAGGGAACTCAAGCAACGAAGTTCAATCCGCGAGTACGTGACGGAGTTCACCACCCTCACCCTTCAAATTCCCAACCTTTCTGAGGAGGATCTCCTTTTCCACTTCACCGATGGGTTACAATTACATTTAAATTTCAGTTTACTTAGTATTTGAATTTCATTTTAAGTTTGTTGTTATTTTCTTGTATTTATTTGAGTGTTAAAAATGAAGTAAATTAAAAAGAAAAAAAAAAAAGAAAACAGAAATAGTGATTTCACGTAAATTTACACGAAATGCAAGCTTGCATTTCAAGTAAATTTATACGAAATGCAAGCTTGCATTTCACGTAAATTTACACGAAATGCATGCTTGTATTTCACGTAAATTTACACGAAATTTAACAAAATTCTGGAAAAGACGCATTTCGTGTTGTATTGCACGAAATGGAGTGTTTCATTTCCTGCAACACAACACGAAATGCATAAAAATGTCGAAATTCGACAAAAAACACATTTTTTTTTATCTCAAAATCGAAGTAGGTTTCATCCTTCTTGATAATTATTGTGTTCTAAATGATACTATCGGACAAATTTGACGATTTGGTAAGTTTTAAAATTCGGAGGTTGAGAGGATTTCGAAAAATGTTATAGGGTTTCTTGACAAATGAATTATTTAGCACTGGAACCGGAAAAAAATGCACTATGAATAGTAAGCCCTATAACTTAATTATAAGAGCGTAATTGAAATTAGAAAGCATAAAAGTGTTAAGTCAGAAATATAGATTACCTAAATAAATATTGTTTTTTTATTTTTTTTATTTTTTTTTTAAATTCAGACATACTTAATGAATAATGAGCTATGCTGCACGGACACGGATACGGACACAGTGATACGGCATTTTAAAAAAACTAGGATATGGACACGCGGGGATACGCGTAAATATCAAAATATAGGGATATATTTTATAAATAATAAAAATATAGGGGTACATTTACAAATTATAAAAAATATGTATAAGTCGTCATCGCATAAGAGAACCGCTCGCCCTTGTTGCTCGTGTTCTTGGTCGCCGTCGCATGCTAAACTTTTGGAGTTTTGGGTGGACTCACAAAGAAAACAGAGGAAATGTGTATTACAGAGAAAAGAAAATGCGCATTTTTTTATTAGGGCTCTCTCTTAAAACGTAAGAGAAGTGTCTCAACTTTTTTAAAATTATGGACACTGCCCGACAAGGGTGTCCTACTTTTGGAGAAATTACGACACGGCTCGACACGGGTGTCTGAGAAGTGTCCGGGTATGTCCGAGTGTCCAGGTATCGGATACGAACTCTTCACCTTCTAGAGGTGTCCGTGCAGCATATAATGAGTTATTTGTAATACAAATTATCTATTTTCTTTTCATTCGGGGACAAATTAGATATTTCAATGGCCTCATTAAAACTTTTAACTCATGTGTTTTTCGTGATTTACCCTAATATAAGTAACAAATCATAGTTGAGCAGATCTCCTCGCTGTAACTCCTTTTTTAATTTTTATCCATTTGACAAGTTCTCGCCAAGTCACTCTGTTTATCCTTATCCTTAACAAAATTAATTTCTTATCAAAATCTCATTATTATTAATTAATACATAAGTTTCTCATAATCTGCTAACACCCTAATTCCTCTGATTTTGATTCGATTGATTTCGTTTCTCCTCTTTCACTGTGGCATAGCTTCTTCCATTCTCACTAACAATGGAGAATTACTCTCTTCCTCAAGGCTCTTATTTTCTCGGATTTGACAGCTCCACTCAGTAAGTATCTCCTCTTTTTTTTTTCTTTTTTTTTTTTTGTTTTTTTAAATTTATAAATTTGTTCGCATGTATCTGTTCTCTTGTTTGAGATATCCAAAATCATTAGTTTTATCAGAAAATCATCGATTATCTCATCAGAAATTCGATACTTTTTAATGCGGACCGGCGATTCAGCTTGTAATCACGCGATCGAGGTGTAAGTTTATAGAAATGTGTTTTAATGGTGGATTGATGCACTATGTATTTTAGGTCTTTGAAGGCAACTGTATTAGATGCAAGCCTGAACATTGTAGCTAAGGAGATTGTCAACTTCGATTCCGGATTGCCCCATTACAAGACCAAAGATGGTGTTCTTCGCGACCCTTCCGTCAACGGCCGAATCGTTTCGCCCACCATAATGTGGGTCGAAGCATTAGACCTAATTCTTCACAGGCTCCAAGAATCGAATTTCGATTTCGGGAAAGTCGTTGCTGTTTCCGGCAGTGGACAGCAGCACGGCAGTGTTTACTGGAAAAACGGCAGTTCCGAAATATTATCTTCGTTGGACCCGAAAAAAACAATGGTGAGTCAACTCGGTGACGCCTTTTCTGTGAAGGAATCGCCTATATGGATGGATAGCAGTACTACGGAACAATGTAAGGCGATTGAAAAGGCAGTTGGTGGTGCTTTGGAGCTGTCGAAGCTTACTGGTTCACGTGCTTATGAAAGATTTACGGGCCCACAAATTCGGAGGATATTCGAGACGCAGACCGAGGCTTATGAGAATACGGAGAGGATTTCGTTAGTTAGCTCGTTCATGGCTTCTCTTCTTATTGGGAGTTATGCTTGTATTGATCAAACTGATGGTGCTGGGATGAATTTGATGGACATTAAAGAGAGAGATTGGTCGAAAACTGTTTTGGAGGTTTTGTTCGTGCATATTATATATATCGGACTGCTATTCTGCATTTGTTCGTTGATTATAATTATGAATATTCTGTTTGTTTTTAGGTCACAGCACCGGGATTGGAGAAAAAACTTGGGAAATTAGTTCCTGCATATGCTGTAGCTGGTTCTATTGCTCCTTATTTTGTGGAGAGGTTATTATTTTCCAACTAAAATATATGTGTGTATATATAGATATATATTTGAAGAAAAAAGAATGGCAATTGAATTCTGCTTGGTATTTTAGAAAAGTCGAGCTTTGTTTGATATGTGATGTGCGTTGTCATGAAATGTTTCAGGTATCACTTTGACAAAAACTGTTTAATCGTTCAGTGGTCTGGTGATAATCCAAACAGCTTAGCAGGTGACTATTTATTTCTAAGCATCAGTTTAGAACCGAGTAATAGAAGTTCATTTCGAGGAATAATACAGGCAGAATAGATCCTTGTCAAGCATTCTCCGCGCATTCTGTTTTATACTTGTATCCGATTTCCAATATGTGTTTGGTGTATAATTTCTTTTCTTTTTTTTCATTAATGTGATTGTGTCTCAGCTCAAGACAGTGAGTTACGATTCACAGTTCCAATATCATGTCACTACTTGGTTTTGACAAATGACCCTTTCTAAGCAATCCACATGGATTTAGTTAGTGCAATTTCTTGAGCATGATTGTAATACTGGATTACTGTTTAAATAATGACTGAATAAATTGCATATGTACTACTGTAGGTTTAACCCTCAACAGTCCTGGTGATCTGGCAATCAGTCTTGGCACTAGTGACACTGTAAGTTAAACAGACTAGCTATGCATGAGTACCTATCTTTAATATTTTCCCACTTTTTTCACTCATTATCCCCGTATGTATGTTTTATATTTGTCTAACTATTCGACTAAATGCAAATCATTTGAATGAAAATTTATTAAATATACGGCTGAGGTTTTGTCTACTTACAGAAAAAAACTGAATTAACATTTAGAATACAGCATCCCCTTGAGGTATTACGAGTACCCTTTTTTGTTCTACAAATACATCACTCACGTTGATTCAATATGCAATATCCAAAAACATATCGTAATTTACAAATTTAGTTGGATTTTTTTTGTAGAAAGGTCAAACCTCAATGACTGTTTCTATAATTTATTCACCCTTAATTAAAAGAAAGTGAAAGCTTGCAGTATTATCCAAGGACCTTTTACTCTTCATTTTTATATTTACAATTAGTTATTGTCTGAACCAACCTATGAGGTGGGAGCCTAATTTGATAGATACACAAAAACACAACAGTAGAAATTTGACTCGTTTATATTCCTAGTCAACTATATGTTGAAATATCTTTAGCTGCATTTGGTGATCCCGACTTCTGTTTGTAGGTCTTTGGGATCACTGCAGAACACAAGCCATGCTTAGAAGGGCATGTTTTTCCTAATCCAGTTGATATAAAAGGCTATATGGTTATGCTGTGCTATAAGAATGGTTCTCTCACCCGTGAAGGTACAAACAACTAACTGTCAAATAAAAGTGTCCATGATCACGAGATCTCGATTAACCTCTTTCACTCCAACATTTGTAGATATACGTAACAAGTGTGCAGATAAATCTTGGGATGTTTTCAACTCATTTTTACAGCAGACGCAACCTTTAAATGGTCAGTTGCATAACTTCTGGTTCTTCAACTTTAAATTAGATAGTGTTTGGTTTGCTGTTTTTAATGCCCTTTTTGTTTTTTGGGGTACAGTTGGAAAATTAGGATTTTATTACAAAGACCATGAAATTACTCCTCCCCTCCCAGGTAAGCATAGTACAGAATATTAAATTTTGTTGTATCCAAAAATATATACAATTGCTTTGACTCGTATATTTTTATGATTGCAGTTGGATACCATCGCTATGTTCTTGAGAATTTCAATGAGAACACATTGGATGGAGTAAAAGAACGTGAAGTTACGGAATTTGATGCTGCCTCTGAGGTTAGTTAGTGGACTAAATAATGTCTGAACAGATGTCTCTCTCTCTCTCTCTCTCTCTCTATATATATATATATATATATATATATATATATATATATATATATATATATATATATATATACTTACACAAAATTCGTAATAGGTACGAGCATTAGTGGAGGGTCAGTTTCTGTCAATGAGAGCTCATGCCGAAAGATTTGGAATGCCTTCACCACCAAAACGGATAATTGCTACAGGCGGAGCATCGGCTAATAACAGCATTCTCGGCTCCGCAGCTTCAATTTTTGGTTGCGATGTCTACAAAATCGAAAGCTCAGGCAAGTGCTAATTTCTTTTCTGCAAAGCACGAAAATATTTTGCATGGAATGATAATATGCTTGTGTAGTTGAATTCTATTCATCAAGAAAATTATTTTACAGACTCGGCTTCAATGGGAGCTGCACTAAGGGCTGCTCATGGTTGGTTGTGCAACAAAAAGGGCAACTTTGTCCCAATTTCCTGCATGTATATGGACAAGTTGCAAACGACGTCTCTAAAATGCACGCTAGCAGTTGCTGCTGGAGACGAAGGACTTACGTCCAAGTACGGTTTGTTGATGAAGAAAAGGGCGGAAATTGAGAATGGTCTGGTCCTGAAACTAGGACGAATGTGAATATTTATACTTGCTAGGAAGCTAGAATTCCATCCATTTACTTTTCTTTCTGAAAAAAAAATATTTAATTTTGTTCTCTTCTGGTTTTTATCACAATAATCCGAACTGTGAATAATGAAAAAGGAGTGGCTTGAGCGTCAGCCGTGACTATCTTTTGTCGAATAGAGTTTTTTCTTTCTTCTTTATATGGTCTTTCTGAGGGAGAGAATTACACTTTTGGTCCCATCTTTGGTCCGATTCCACTTTTGGTCCCGTTGTTTCAAAGTGAACAAACACCAAGGTTCAATTTTAAATACTTTCGGTCCCCGCTGCTGTATGTCCATTAGCAAGTAACGGAAAACATTATTTTGGGGCAAACATTGAAATTTTAAATTTTTGTGCGTGGAAACTATTTAGAAATTTAAAATATACTACTTATAATATTTTTTTTTAATAATAAAAAAAATTAACTAAACAAACTATTTTTAATTATACTTAATATTATTATAATTATACTTCTTATAATTAAATTTTTAATAATAACAAAATAAATTAACTAAACAAACTTTTTTTAATTATACTTAATGTTATTTTTTAATATACTACTTATAATTAAATTTTTAATAATAAAACAAAATAACTAAACAAATTATTTATACTTAATATTATTTTTAACTATCCTACTTATAAAAAAAATAATAATAAAAAATAAATTAACTAAAAGAATTATTTCTAACTATACTTAATGTTATTATAATTTTACTACTTATAATTAAATTTTACTAATAAAAAAAAGAAATTTACTAAACAAATTATTTTTAATTATACTACTTAAATTAACTAAACAAATTTCATTTAAATTTAATATTATTAAAAGTTTTAAGTACGAGTAGTATATTTTAAGTTTATAATTGTTTTCCAGCCCCAAAAAAATTTAAAATTTCAATTTTGGCCCTAAAGTAGTGTTTTTCATTACTTGCTAGACATGTAACGGCGGGGACCGAAAGTGTTTAAAATTGAACATTGGAGGTGAACTTTGTTCACTTTGAAACCACATAAACCAAAAGTTAAAATTTGGTCAAACATGAAGGACCAAAAGTGTAATTCGTCCGATTTTATGTAAATGCCATAATAGTTCAGAATTAGGGAGTATGGCAGGGTCACAGGGTGGGTTTTTTTTTTTTTTTTTTTTCTTTGTTTTTTTATTATCAGCCCGATTGCTCTACCGTACCATATGGATTTTCTACCAAAAATATTCTACTGACGGTAATAGTGCTCTATTTATTAGTCATGAATCAAATATGGATTTTCATTAAAAATCTAGATATGTCAAGTTTTGTAACGGAAACTTGGTGACAATCTTAATAGATGTATAGATGATCATTTGCATTTATAATTAACAAGGCATTTGCACGGCGTTCGCACGTGTTGTATTACTTTACTTATTTTTTAGCCAAACATAAATTTTTATTGCATAAAAAAAGCCCTTGTTAAATCAAAGTTTGGCCTCACAAGGAAATAGTACCCCTATTGTTTATTCTCTTTTTTTATTGCCGAAAAAAAAAAATTTAATAAGAGGGGAGGCTATACAAAGGGGCCTCGTTAAAACCATGTTATGCTATAAGGAAAAAATACCCCTTCTACGAAATTTATGAATACCTAGCTTATCCATACAAATTACATTTCTGATATGACAAGGAAGAGCTTTCGTGTGCCAATACTCCTTTTTGTGAGATTGAGCTATCTTTGCTAAGCCATCTCCTACCATGTTTTCTTCCTGAGAATGTGAATTATCCTCCAATTATCCTTTAGCTGTTGATGAATTCATTTGATAAGATATTCATTCCCCTATGACAAACATGTTTTATAATTTGGTACCCCTATTGTTTACAACACAACTTTCTAAGTAAATTACAAACTCTTACTATTTGTGATTCAATTTTACAGTTCATTCGTATTTTTCAACTTTTTGATTGGAATCTTAAAAGAAATTCGAGTTGTTATAACTCTATCGATTTTTTTACGATTAGTGCGATTTTATAGGAATTTTACGATTCAATTGATGTTTAGGATTCAAAATGTATCTATCTTACAAGATATTTAATTTGATATAATTCTATCTATTTTTTTTTTGCGATTTAGTGTGATTATATTCAATATGTAACACCCCGCCCTTTCGGATAACTCGTTTTATATTTTTATTATTTTTCATAAGTAGATTTTACGTTTAGAAATTTTATGTGTGCTAATAGGATAATTTATTATGAGCTAGCATAATTAAACATACATTCTTGATGTATTTTATGTGTGACTTAAATTATGTGATTAGTTGATTTATTAGGATCGAATATTTGAAATTTTTTACACGAAAAATAACTAATTGAAAATTTTCATATTTTAATTAGATTATTGCATTCTAGAATTTAATTTGGATAGTTGGAATATATTTATGCATACACTAAATTTTTAGAAAAAGAATAAATTCATGCATATTAGATAATTAAATGAGTGAATAGACTTAGAAATAAATTTTTCCCCACTCTTCTTGTAATTTTCGGCCATGTGGAGACACAGATGGATTTTATTTTCCATGTATACAATTCTTTAATGTAGAAAGACTCATTAATTGGGAGAATTGAAGGCTTAAGTGGCTTGTACCTTCTTCATTGAGAATGGTACTTCACTTTACCTTTTAATTCAAGACCCACTTTCTCTCTCTTTCCACATAAGCATTTGAAACCCATTCTCTTTCTTCTTCCTCTCTCCCTAAATTCGGCCATCACCACCATCCCCTCACCAAGACTCCATTTTTACTCAAGCTCAAGCCATAGAACCATCTCTAATCCAACCCACCTAAAGAGGAAATTCCAAGAACACCCCCAAATGCTTGCAAAACTCTATAAATAGAACCCAACACCCAAGTAAATTTTCATCTTCTCCACCATATCTTAAAGCTTTTAAGAAAATATTCTTCTTCCTTCTTCTCCTCCATTTCGAAATTATTAGTGTAGGAAGCTCGAAATCTCTCCTCATTTCCAAAAGGAAGTTTCTTCAACTAGAAGTGTAAGAAAGCTCTCATTTTTCTTCTTCCTTTTCAATTTCGAAAATTTCCTAATATTTTCTTCTAATTTCTTTATAATTTCTTCAAGGTTCTTGTAGTGGGTTATTCAATCCACTAATTCCTTCATATTCCCAAGAGAAAGTAGGTGATAATTTCATATTCTTGCTACAAGTGATTCTTCACCAATATTATTTCTTCTTTCTCCTTCTTTGTTCTTAATGGCCGAAAATTTGGGAAGTTATAGCACTATAATTGATTATTGTTAGATCATCCATGCATGTAAGAATCTAAGCTTTAAATGATATAATCTTGAATAACTAAGAATAATATTGTAATTTAATTTTTAAGTATGTATGTATCTATATATATACTAGACCTGCGTGATCTTAAGGAAACTTCGATCCATGGTTTTCGTAAACCTGCGTGGTCGAAGAAAGTACTTGATCCATGGTTTATTTGTAATCTATATGTGCTATATATAAGTATATGTTTCTATGTGTATATATATCGACCTACGTGGTTGTAAATGTACTCCCTCCGGGTCGAGGAAGCTTACGATCCATGGTTTATGATCTATGAGTAATAAGATAATATACAAAGATAAAAATCGAGAACAAGATTAATAAAAATGGAATTTTGTGTAATTGAATTGTTGATGGTTCGAATATTTTGGAAAGAAAATGAAATAAACGGAAATTTGGTGCTACTTAAAGGAAAACTTCAAGTCTCTTGAGAAAGAGGGCTTGGACTTTAATTAATAAAACTTGGAGATAGTAATTATAAATAACCGAATGCTTTGAGTTGTTTTGCTATATGTGATCTATGTTCTTTGCTTGAATTTTTATATGTCTTACTTGCTTTTGTGATTTTGTGACTAAACTATGTGCCTTTGTGAAATATGTGAAAATATGTGTGCTTATGTGAAAGCTAGCTTTGAATATGTGAAATGAAGAGTATATACTAACTTCACTTGCACGTTTTTAAAGTTGGAAAATCTTGTAAAACATAGATCGAATAAGCACGGGGTATGAGGGACCGGTACCCAAAAAAAGAGATGAAGAGTGTGTGGTTTGATTCCACTTATGAAACGGGTTCCAAATAAATGAAGGCTTATTGTCTATGGTTTTGCTTGATTTTCCAAAGGATATCCGAATAAAAAATGTTTTTCTCACACAACTATCAAGTTGTTTGAATTGAATGAAAGTATGTACTAACCTCACTTGCACGTTTTTTTTTAATTGGAAAGTCTTGTAAAACATAGATCGAATAAGCACGGGGTATGAGGGACCGGTACCCAAAAAATGAGATGAAAAGTCTGTGGTTTGATTCCACTTATGAAACGGGTTCCAAATAAATGAATGCTTATTGTCTATGGTTTTACTTGATTTTTTCCAAAGGATATCCGACTAAAGAAAATGATTTTTCTTACACGTTGTATGAGCACTTGAATGAATGTATGTGCAAAAGAATGACGACTCCCTTGTGAGGGATCTCCTCTTATTCCTTATGAAATGATGAAAGGAAGGTTTAAGAGGTAAATTGAAAAGTTCTAAGAGGTAAACCGAGAAGGTAAAGGTAAATCGGTAAATTTTCTTAAAGAAATGGTGATTGAGGTATATGTATATTTGTATATGTATGACTTTATGATTCCTTGTCTAAGTGTATTTGATATTCTATGGAATTCTCATTGAGTCTCAAAGACTCATATAGGTGTTGAATTGCTTGTAGGATTACCCGATTTCGAGCCCGAGGATCGTGGTTGAAGTTGAGTTCGTGGATCGGGAGAAGAGTTCATATGGAGGCATGGTGGATTTTGGGTGCTCTTAATATACTAATGTGGTTTTATTTGTATAATTTGCAATTAAGGATATTCGACACCGTTCTATGTGTTTACTATCGTTCTCTCCCGCCTATTGGAGGAACTTACTATTGATGCATAATATGTAATGTTACTTAGGAGTAAAATTACCTCTTTTGATATATGTTATGGTATTTCCTCAAAAACTTGTGTAAACTAAGGGCAAGTTTTCATAAAAACCTTATAAAATGCCCGTCTGCTAGTTGTGTGTTATGTTCTGTCTAGTAGTTTGATAATTCGTGTTAATTATCTCTTCCATACAGTACTGCATGAAATTTTACAGAATT